TCAATTGGGATTTTTGAAAACTTTGATGGACTTTTTTTAAGTGATGACTTTTGAGAATTTCGTGGATCTTTTAAAGATTTGTATGGAATTAATGGAAGTCTTTCGTAGACTTCTATGGATTTTCATTTTAAAATTTTATAGACTTTTGTGGAATTCAAAAGACTTTTGAAAGCTTTCATTTGAAATAGCTTCTTCCCATAAAATAAAATAAAATTTTAAGACCATAAAAAAATAATGAATAAAAAAAAATAAAAATAATATATATATATATATATAGTATACTTTTAAAAATAAATAAAAATTAATATATTTAAATTTAATTATAATTTAATAAAAAAATAGGTATTTTTCACAAAAAAAATGAATGAAAAATGAAAAAAAAAAGTTACAAGAATCCAATTTAATTTTTCTCAGAGAAAGTAGAGATAAATAATAAGAGAGAGAAATAAAAATAAATGGAATATAATAAATATAAAAAATAAATTTTAATTATACATATCCATAGAAGATTAAAGGAAAGAAAGATTAAAAAAAAAAAAGTTTTTTGTTTCTTTTTTTGTTTGTGAAAGTCTCCCAAAATCTCGTGATTAATGAGAGACCAATTTTAAAATATTATATGAGTATTTTCTGCTTAAAAGTTAGTACGTCAAAGACTTTTATAAAAGTCTCTAAAAGTCATTAAAATTTGAATACCCATAGACTTATAGAGACTTCTAAAAAGTTTTAATTGAATACAACGTAACTTTTAGAGACTTTTAAAAGTCTATAAAAGTCTTAATTGAATATACCATGACTTTTAGATAGTTTCAAAAAGTTTCAATTGAATACCTTTAAACTTTTTAAATCCCAAAAAGTCATTAAAAGTCTCTATTGAATACACCCTCCTTAGTACTATGCACATTTTGTTGTTTTGTAAATGGTGCGTGGTGGGTGTAGGTCATGGAGATAACTGATGTAATAAAATATTTAAAATTTTTTATTACTAAATATGAAGAAAATTATGTCTATTGTTTGTCTATTTTAATACTTTGTTCAACCATGTCATCATAATCTAGAAAGCTCATATCTCAGTGATCTCAAGAAAAAATAGAGTGAGGCAAAACTTTTCAAAAGTCAAAAATTGCTTTTGAGAGATTAAAATTCTGTTTTTAACTTGTTTGAATAATTTTTTAGAAGTGTTTTGTCTGACTAGAAAAGCTTCTTCTTATTAATTAATTAATTTATTTATTTATTTATTCAAAGTAACATTTTCAAAAGGTTCTTTTACAAGAAGTAGAAGTAAAAGTAGAAAACTTAATCTTTACTTAATAAATACATCTTACACCAAGCTGGGAATTGCAATCGAAGTTATTTATTCTACAAAATTGAATTTTCATTGAAAGATAACAATGAGACCTGAATTGAAAACTAAAATTATATGTTTTAGTACAATATTAAACTATGCCATCTAAAGCTATAAACTTTTTCACAAAATACGTGAAAATTGCTAACTTGTTTTGAAGCACAAATCATTATTTTAATGAGGAAACTAATGTAAAATTATTTTAAAGAAGTTAGATTACTCGAGCCAAGGATAAGAAATTACAATTTTTAAAAAATATATATAGCTATAGTCAAAATCATCAAATATTTTTTTGTTAATTTTATCATTGTCACTTAAAATAATTGAAGGGCATCAGGCTGAACCAAACACTTTGATTGTATAAACCGTGGGTCCCACAATTAATCAATTAATCCACATATATTTCACCAAAATCCTTGGAATCTTGCGGGCTGTGGACCAGTTCAGATATTTCTTATTGGTATAACATAGCTGGAATCTCAAATGAGAGTAAGATCAATTTTAAGCTGGAATCAGTTGGAATCTTGATTGATTTTTAGGTCACATTGGATGTTTGAAAAAGTTTATATATAAGAACTTTATCTTTGGGAATGGACCATTGCTTTTTTCCTTTCATCTTTTCTATCCTCACCCTTCATGACGATAGCATCGACCATTGTTGATGTAGCTTTACGATGCTTAGTTTATTATGATGATACCAAATCCGTAGGAAGGCCTCGGAAAAAATTGTTTGCCTTGGATTCGGAACTCATTGTGAGGGTTTCTTGTTGTATCGAAAATCCAATTTTCTTGTAGTGTCGATTACATGTTTGAGGAAGTAAATTCGATGAAATCACAAATTTAGTTCTTTCAAACTCTTCACGAAACATGAAATTTTAATCAAGTCTTTCAGAAAACATTCTAAGAAATCGATTACAAATAAGTTGGTATTGATTCTGTCGAGACAGGACCATCGAATCATAGTACAATAGTAACATACACAATATGAACATAGCCGATTGCAATCAAGTTGACCCTATGATAATATGGCCCATTTCCAAGACTAATTCACATGGTCGGCCGCAATCCATTTATGTAATTATGCAAACATTTCACACAATAAATTAGGAATATTGGTGTGAACTTGAAACCATAAAGTCATATTGCATTATCATGATAATTGATACTTGACCTGTCAGTCCAAAAGGGTTTCAAAATGAATATTTCAATTATACGGGTGAAGTGAACAAGTAACTATCATGTATTGCCAAAAATCATCAAACAATTGGCAAGTTGCATTTTTAAACTTCAGCATTCTATGTGAAGAATTTATAAATGGTTGATGTCGATGACAAAAAATGATGTGGTACTTTTAGATCAATTTAGAGATTTTTTTAAAAAATCATCATTTTATTATTTTTGGAATATTAGTATAATATAAGGGCGTAATTTTCAAGAACTTGAATACAAGTGGTATAGAGAGATTTTTAACAGTCCGGTCCTTCTTTTTGGACCTTTGCCCCTTTATATAGCCCTTTAAATTGGAGCTTGTCGACTTGTCGTTATAATCATAACAAGCTACAACGTCTGATCAAGCATGTGCGACATCATCCTTTTTAGACAAATTTGATTGGTTGAAGAGTTGGATTGCGATGTGGTCATCAAGATACCTTGGTTGTTGCCCCATACCTTATATAATAATGAATTTTCTTTGATCGATTTTTGCGGTGGCGTTGCTACCCTAGGGGAACACCTTTTCAATCATGTCATAATTATGTTTTCAAATGACATCTCTTATGTGCCGACCTCTACGAAAGGAATCTTGGGTTGACCTTTCATGTTGTCATATTTGACTTTGATGAAAAGGATCATTAATTTATATTAATTCTTCCTAAACGTCACTTGAACAAACAAAGCAACATGAATTCTCGAAATATCACAGGTCACCCAAATAAAAAAGAAGAATTCACTTTCAATGAACAATCTTGCAGCTTGATCGATGATTGGTTGGAAAATTATAGGTGGCCGTACTATAAACAAGGAGGTTGAATCAAGCGTGCTTCATTTGATTTGGCGTACATAACATCATATTCAATACCTTAGTGATTTCACAAGGGCTATGGAAGTTTAACAAATGTATCATCATATTAGTTAGCCAAATTTGGCCTCCATTTCACCGAACTTCAAATTTAGCCCTTGTTTGACTTCCATTCTTTTGGAAAAATACATTTTTCAACAGTATTTTGATATTATTTCAACAACACATTCTTTAATAGAATAGTATTACACGTAAATTCAAAACTTTTTCTTATTTTTTAACTACACATTCCCCATCAATACACTATTCAAAAATTTGTTCTTCCCAAAAAAATGGAACTCAAACAAGGGCTTAATCACACATTTCATGAAATCTATAATTTTATCAACTTTTCAACTACACATTTACCAATTTAAAAAAAAATCAAAATCTACTAAAAATCTAATTTTTATCCAAACCAAGCACGGGACTAGACCTGAGCATTTGGTAAACACATAATTTCAACCACTATTCTTTCTGGGTTAAAGTATGCAATGTTCCTCTGATTCTCGATAGTGAGGTTCGTGCAAGACATTGGGATGAGACAATCGTGGCAGTGTATTCGTATTTGGGTAAGATTAGATATAGCCAGACTTTTAATACATGGCATTAGAATTTTGTTGAAGCTTTACAAATTAAAATTAATCTTTTAATTCTATGAAAGATTTCGAGCATTGTGTTTTGCTTTTGGCTTAAATGGTGTAAAATAACCCAAGTGACATTAAAGCATTCTAATTGTTTCCCACTTGACCCTGAAAAATATTTTCAAGCTACTACTGAATTTATGGAAATCTATTACATATGTCACTTTGTCACTTGTTTATTGAAATGTTAATGAATTTGATGATGTGAACTACAAAATTTAACATGTGACATGAGTTAGATGTTAGTCGTCACGTCACCAAAATCCCGAATGATAAGCTTAAGATCTATTTTGTTAATTAAAAAAAATGAAGAAAACCAAGTTTGAACGTAACACACAATAGCCATCTTCACAAACCTCAAACCCCCAAATTATGAACTAGGGTTATTCGTCCTTCAATTGAATTTGAGTAATGGAAATCGTACTCCCAATTCAACCCAAATATGGGTGATCCAATGTGGCACAATCTTTTGGGACATTTAAATGATAGCACCACACTCGTTTTCAAAACTCAAGAGCTCAATTGGCTAAAGGTATGGATCATAATTATTACGGATAACTCGTATAGCCCAATGATCTTTTAAACAAATGAATAACAAAATGATTGCAATCTTTAACTAAAATTAAATACTAGGCGTCTTCAATTGTAGGACTTACTAAATTGTAGGCTTTAACTATTTAAAAATTAATTAAAATTACATAGATTTTTCAAAACGATATTCATTTCTATAAGTAATTTTGTTTTATAGACCTTTTCATGGCAATGCCTGTCTTAATTTTTCACGAAAATTTTTTTGTCTATCGCCTCACATTTCCCATTTATATTCCATAATAATTTAGGGTCTGTTCGGTAGGAATTATGAGAATTAATTTTTTGACAGTTATAAAGAGAAGTCGGTCCCACCTATAAGTGAAGAAATAAAAAATAACAACTAAAATAGTCAAATAAACGAACGAAATTGACCCAATTGTAGTAAACACTACCTCAAAAATTAATTGACTACTTGACATTGTTCAAAAACAACGATTTCTAGTATCTCCAAACTAATCCTCGAAATCAAAATTTTCGTCATATTCATCTTCAAACCTGTAAGACATCGCATCATTATGATGACCGAATATAACATCATCGTCGCAACAAGTGATCTTCATTATGAAGATTCTTCATCATAATTGCCCTCTTCAGATCTTTGCATTTTAGGTGTGGTGATGTTTTCGTTCTGTGAATGGTCATTTCTTCAAGAATCGAGTTTCAAACCGATGTGTGCCATACCAGAACCTTGTTCCTGAAATGATAATTAACAAAGTTAAGGGAAACAATAAATGCAAAGAATCCTTTTTCGAGTTACATGTTTGTTTTACACTTTCTGACCCAATGAAAATGAAACCAAAACAAGAGTATAAAACACTTACCATATCATCATTTAGAAGTCTCAAAGCATCATAATTGATTCATGTCAACATCACATGTAAAATATAATACAAACATACTCCAGCTCGCTCGTAGGGATTGAAATCGTCATACAATAAGAATTTAACAAATGACGAAAGATCATAATTTCCCTATTACTCTTAGCCATGTCTTGAGTTTTACATCGTACTGTGGCAAACAGAAAGAGAAAAAAGAATTCCCATTGAAGCCTAATTTATTACCTGCTGTTCCAATTTCTCGGTGGTTTTAACAGCTTTCCGAGCAGGGGTAATTTTCTTTGTTTCAATTTCTGCTTTTTGTTTCTTAACCTGAAATTTATCACCAATTTAGACAGTAGTCAAATTTAATCCCAAATTGAAAAGTTCAAATCTTACAGGGAGGAAAAAGTATGAAAAAGACTGTTGAAACCGACAAGTCGCAATATCATAAGCTGTCAATGTTCACATCAATATCGATAAAATGTAAGGGCCCTATCGATATTTCAACATCAGCTAAGAAATGTTTAGAAGACTACTAAAATGCTTTAAACAGTGTTTCTCATTACATTTTGTATAAAAAATAATTATGAGACCTGTCATCGGTATACTTAAGTTGCATGGCATTGACCAAAAACATAAACACAGATAATGCGAGATGGAGGGAAGAAAATAATATGGAGTCATGCACATTAGTTTCTGGGAGAATTTTACTCGCATAGTACTGCCAGATAGCCCCTGTGTGAAGAAATCTGGTTTCACTTTCTCTTCAAATAATTTAGTTAAGACAATGGTGCATAAAGTATGAACTACCCCTTACTGTTGTTGCAACACCTCCTTAAAAGAAAAAGAGTTTCCCTTGGTCACGATTACAGATGTAAGGGGTCAGGTGGTTTCTTGGTCCTCAAGGGTACTTGTGGATTCAAGGGTATGAGAAGAGGGACACCCTTTGCTGCTCAAACTGTAGTAGCAAATGCTATTCGTACAGTAGTACTAGTAGATCAAGGTATGCAACAAGCAGAAGTTATGATAAAAGACAACACAAAATTCTTCAAGATACCTAAGCTTTGGAGGTGAAACCAGACATTTCGAAAACAAATTCTCCAATCAAAGCAATCTGGTCAAATTTTTTCTTTAACTATTATAAATAAATACGAAGGATAAATGCCAAACTCAACCAAGAAATGGAATGCTTTAATTTCTATGGTTTAAAATAAATATTGATCCCATATTGTGACTTAAAGAAGAGAATATCATAATACCATCTTATAGAGACTATTTTGCACAATCGGAACTAATATTATATTTATTCACATATTACATTCTCCCATAATAATTCAAGGACATAAAAGATCAAATATCATGATGGTAGGACAAATACGTATAGTTCAATAATTCTATCGGCTAGCACCTATGTGAAAGCTAGAAGTCTAGAATCTATAGATTGTATCTTAACGAGTTACAAAAATACATGAAGAGAGAGTAAGCATCCGAATTAACATAACACTTCATCCTAGCCTACTTGTAGAATAGAAAGAAAATAAAATAATAATCAGACAAAAAGGGGAAGGAGATGGGAAAAATATGCCCATACAGAGGAACAAGGTAAAAGAACACAAACCACACCTTAATTGAGCTAAAATTAGATGAAATGTAAGAAAACATTGAGGTGATGCAAGGCTGGTAAGAAAACATTGAGGTGATGCAAGGCTGGTAAGATAGTCCAATTACATCAATCAAACCAATTGTAGACTAGAAATTCTGCCAAATTACCCCAAATGCAAGCATATCTTGAAGAGTATTAGTAAACAAGGCTTTACCTTTACAATGTTCTTTAATCATGGCTTCCCATAACATCCTTTTCAAATGCATCAACTTTTTGTTGTTAAGATATCCAACAATCTGAAGAGCATAAAAAATTGCTTAAATGCTTCCCCAACTCATGTGTCTAGTGATAAATGCTTGATTCCCTATCATATTCTGAAATATGCATCCTTTTCTTTTTCACGATATGAAATTCTAAATGACTTATCAGCTGGTGAAAATGTTAGATATTATCAACGAACGAAAAAATTTCGTTAAAAGATTTCAGCAAAGTACAGGACTAAAGAAGAAGCATTAGAAACTTACAGGGTGCATAGAAGTTTTGATTATTCAAACAAAAGTAAAGGTATTCTAATGGAAAGCATGAAAGTAATTTACCATCATAAAAAACACTTGTGAGAACCATTGCCAGAGTTTAAACGATAATGCATGTGAAACAACAAAGGATATGCCTCAGAATCATCAACATCGGAAAGACTTTCTGAGCCATTAGATTTAGTTCTACTTCTTTTCTTGTACCTTTGTTTTTACCAGATTTAGTTCTTTTCTTATTAACTAAAACTTCTGCAGCTATCCATTGTCTTAGCCAAAAAGATTCTGCATAAGAAATTTCATGAAAACTACATTAAAGATTACAGCCAGTGCTCTCAGTTGCAACATTGCAAGTCAGGTAGCAACTCCACTCTGCAGGAAGTCTCAACTTCCACCATCTACAAAACAGATAATATAAATATGAAATGTGAGATTTACAATAACTATGATCTATTTTATATGGCTTCTAGTTGAATGAAACCTTACAAGGACTTTATCAGCATCATCTTACACTTCGATAAAAGAATAAAGTTCCCATAAACCAACACCCTGCTGGTGAAGGAATCCGCTCTTGATATCATATTTGGAAAAAAAAAAAAAAATCCAAAAACCCTCTTTTATTGAATAAAATAATAATAAAAAACAGGAGAAAAATTGAAAACACCAATGAGACTGATCGTCAAGCAAATAAATAACTCGGGAATTTTTGCTAATCAATTTGGACAAAAAGGGTAAATGACTGCCTATACACTGAAATAGTAATATCACTGCGTATACATTCATCCAATCTTAGCAATATTTAACAATTTCATGGGCTGAAAATTCATGAAAATATACGAATTGAAAGGGAGTAAAAGAAAAGAAAGAAATTAGGGTTTTTGGAACTTTGAGTAATCTCCATCGATAGAGAAATACCGCTGAAGTTTCAAAGTGGTTATGCGCAGAGTATAAGAGAGTTTTAAGTGGTTATGCGCAGAGTATAAGAGAGTTTTAAGTGGAACCCTAGACCTCAGAATATTACCGTTAGCAATTCAAAAATTAGCACCGACTCATTCTTACATAAAAAAAAATTTTACCGTTAAAAACCAATCTTTGCACCTCTCTCTCCCTCCGAAAACACTCTCTTCTACACTCTCTCTGCATCGATTACAATTTTCTCTCCCTTTTTCAGCCATGACGAAGTCTAACAACAATCTGGAGAAGAAAACAATGGGTCGGCGGAAGATTGAAATTCGGAAAATTGACAATAAAAACAGTCTTCAGGTTACCTTCTCAAAGAGGCGAAGCGGTCTTTTCAAAAAGGCAGCGGAAACGAGCCTATTGTGTGGCGCAAATATTGCAATCCTCATCCAATCTCCGGGGAACAAATTTTTCACTTTTGGCGAACCCTCCGTGGAATCCATTCTAAACCGGTACCAATTTCTTGATTATTCATTTTCTACCGAGTCAAACCCGACTGCCCACAATCTTTTGGCTGAAGAAAGAAGTGAAAATAATGAGGCAACGAAGGGATTTTGGTGGCTGAACGAAAACATGGAAACTATGGAGTTGCAGGAACTTGAAGCATTTGAAGAGAAATTGAACGTTTTGCTTCAAGCAGGGGAGATGAACCGGTCCCAATTTTTTGATGATTCCCTTTCTACTGAGTCAAACCCGACTGCCCACAATCTTTTGGTTGAAGAAAGAATTGAAAATGATGAGGCAACGAGGGAATTTTGGGGGCAGAACGAAAACTTGGAAACTATGGATTTGCAAGAACTTGAAGCATTTGAAGAGGAATTGAACGCTTTGCTTCAAGCAGGGGAGATGAATAAACAAATTGCTTCAGCTTCTTGTTCGATGATTCCGCTTCCACACCTGTAGGGTTTTAACGAAAATTTTGACGTCGTCTGATTTTTGAGTTACACATTACGTATATAAACGGACAGGATTAGGTTTTAAATTTTTTAATGTTGTCTAATGTCAACACAAGTTGGCAACTAAACCATTGGATTGTCTTTTTCGATGACGATCAACCCTATTTTTCGTTGAAATTTTTAATTGATTTAGCATAAAATCTGTTGTTTCCTGGTTTTCAATTCGAAAGTTCGCATAATTTGTTGTTGTTCTTGTACCACACAGTTTGCCTAATGTGTGATTAGCAGAAATGATATTTTTTTTGTATGATTTACGCTCTCGATGATTACATAAATTCATGAATTAGCAAGATGTATTAATTTATAATAATTATCACTCAATGAACTTACATATAAGCAGACAAAATTTACCCAATTGTAGTGAACTTTATTAAAATTAATGTGGCCTCTTATGGAAACTAGAAAGGTCATTGGTATACTGATCTTGATTCAGAAAGTGTGCACGGACTTGTAAGGATACAAGGTGTATTTCCCGGATCTTTAGTACCTTACAGTTTTTAAGTTCGAAAACTTCTTCATTTATAGCCATTGCTTTGATACTGGCTGACAAGTTATCTAATTTCATACGACAGCGCCTTGCCGTTGATGGGATTTATAGCATGCTCATGACCCTTATCGAGTACGCAAGCAATAGCATGTCGACAGGGAATCCTCGATAAGTCCCATATTTGCAGTTCACAGGCATTCTCGCTTTACTTTTCCAACAATGTCACCAAAGTGTGTAATGCGGTTGCAAACAACATTTTTGACTGTTTATCTAGCTTAGGTACCATCGCATACGATAGCATGACAAGAAAGTTCACCACAATAATCTTTACAAAAGAGATATAGCGAAGATAAGCAAGACATAAGCACGAAGTCCTTTATTTACAATAAGAATACTGACTGAATATTGGATCAATTTTATGGAGAAACACTACAGAACAAAATTTTAATTCAAGTGGAGTTGAGGGGTATTTTTCAATAAAAATATAGTAAGCACTGCCTCAAAAATTATTTAACTACTTGACATTGTTCAAAAACCATGATTCCCAACTATCTCCAAACTAATCCTCGAAATCAAAATTTTCATTATATTCATCTTCATACCCGTAAGGCATCGCATCATTATGATGACTGTATATAAAATCATCTTCGCCACAAATGATCTGCTGTTGATCTTCATCTTCATCATAATTGCCCTCTTCAGATCTTTGCATTTTGGATGTGGTAATGCTTTCGTTCTGTGAATAATCATTTCTGCAAGAATCAAGTTTCAAATCGATGATGTGTGCCGTACCAGAACGTTGTTCTTGAAATGATATCTAAAACAAGAAATGCAAAGAATCCTTAATCTAGTTACATGTTGGTTTTACACTTTCCGACCCAATAAAAACGAAACCAAAACAAAAGCATAAAATACATACCATATCATCATTTAGGTGTCTCAAAGCATCGTAATTGATTCTTGAACTTCTCTTCTGCAAAAATAGGATTCGTATCATCACTTGTAAAATACAATGCAAACATACTCCAGCTTGTAGAGATTGAAATCGCCATACAACAAGAAATTTAAGAAATGACAAAAGACCATAATTTTCCTATTACCATCAATAATATCTTGAGTTTTTCATCGTATTGTAGAAAACAGATAGCAAACAAACAAAAACTCTCATTGAACCTAATTTTTTACCTGTTGTTCCAATTTCTCGATGGTTTTAACAGCTTTTCTTGCAGATGTAGTTTTCTTTGTTTCAGTTGCTGGTTTTTGTTTCTTAACCTGAAATTTATCATCAATTTACACAGCAGTCAAATTTAAGTCTTGAAAAGTTCAAATCTTACAGCGAGGGAAACGTAGGTAAAAGAATGTTGAAACCTAAAGACAAGTCGCAATATCATAAGCTGTTCAGTGTTCACATCAATATCGATAAAATATAAGGGCCCTACATCAGCTAATAAATGTTTAAAAGACTACTAAAATGCTGAAAACATGTTTTCTTGTAATATCGGATAACAAGTATATATGAGACCTGAAATCGCTATACTTAAGTTGCATGGCATCGGCAGAACGGTGAAAGTGAGGTCGAGGGAAGAAGATAAAAAGGAGTTATGCACAGTAGTTTATGGGAAAATTTTATTCACAGTGCTGCCCATTAGTTCATTTATGAAGAAATCCGGTGTCACTCTCTTTAAATAATTTAGTTAAGATAAAGGTGCTCCAATTACTGCCTCACCGAACAAAACTTCATAAGTTGGAATTAGTTATGAATTAATTCCTTTAAAAAATTAGCTTGGAGGCAAAACTAAATTCTTCAAGATACCTAAGTTTTGGAGATGAAACTAGATATTTCAAAAACAAATTCTCCAATCAAATAAATCTGATCATACCTTTTTCTTTCAATGTTATTAATAAATACGAAGGATATATGCCAAACTCACAACCAAGAAAATGAATGCTTTAATTTCTATGGTTTAAAAGAAATATTAGTCACATATTGTGACTTAATGAAGAGAATATCATAATCTCGTCTCACAGAGACTATTTTGCACAATCAAAACTCATATTATATTTTACCACGTATTACAATTTCCCCTAATAATTCAAGTACATAAAAGATCAAACATCATGAGAGCAGGACAAATACGTATAGTTCAACAATTCTATTGGCCAGCACTTATGTGAAAGCTGGAAGCCTAGAATCCATAGATTGTATCTAAACGAGTCACAAAAATACATTCAGAGAGAGTGAGCATCTGAATAACATAACTCTCCACCCTAACTTACTTATAGAATAGAAAGAAAATAAAATAATACATGGACAATAATAGGATGGAAATACGAAAAATATGCCCATATAGAGGAAAAAGGTAAAAGAACACAAACCACACTTTAATTGAGCTAAAACAAGATGAAATGTAAGACAACATTGAGGTGAAATAAGGCTGGTAAGATAGGCCAATAACCCTCAATAAAACAAATTATAGGCTAGAAATTATGTCAAATTACTCAAAATGCAAGGCAGATTTTGAGGAGTACTAGTAAACAAGGCCTTACCGTTACATGTTCTTTATTCATTGCTTCCCATAACATCCTTTTCAATTGCATCTCCTTTTTGTTGTTAAGATATCCAACAATCTGAAAAGCATAAAAATTTGCTCAAATGAATCTCCAACTCAGGGCTCTAGTCATAAATGCTTGATTCCCATTCATATTCTGAACTATGCATCCTTTTTATTTTCACAAGATGTAATTCTTACTGACTTATCAGCCTTGAAAATGTTAGATATTATCAACGACCAAAAAGATTTCATTAACAGAGTTCAGCAAGGTACAGGACAAAAGAAGAAGCATTAGAAATTTCCAGGGTGCATAGAAGTTTTGATTATTCAAACAAAAGTAAAGGTATTCTCATGCAATGCATGAAAGTGAACTTACCTCTATAACAAAAACACTTGCAGGAACCATTGCCAGACTTTAAACAAATAATGCATGTGAAAAAAAAAGCATATACCTCAGAATCATCAATATCGGAAAGACTTTCTGACCCGTCAGATTTTGTTCTACTTCTTTTCTTGTACCTTTGTCTTTTACTAGAAGAATTCTTACTGAAGTCCTGATGAACGGCAGAAGCATCTGAGACATAAAGAAATTACATAATCTAAAACTTCTGCAACTACCCATTGTCTTAATCCAAAAGATTCTGCTTAAGAAATTTCATACACAAAAGTTGTGAGAACAACATTAAAGATTACCGCCAGATGCTCTTAGTTGCAAATTTCTAGGTTGGGTAGCAACTGCACCTCTGTGGGAAGTCCCAACTTCAACTGTCTACAAAACAAATAAAATAATTAAGAAATGTGAGATTTACAATAACTGGGATCTATTTTATATGACTTCTAGTTGAATGAAACTTTTATCAGCATGATCTTACAGTTTGATATAAGAATAAAGCTTCCCACAAACCAACACTCTGCTGGTAAAGGAATCAGCTCTTGATATCATTTTTGAAAAGGAAGTTTCCATCTTTTATTGAAAAAATAATAATAATAAAAAGGAGGAAAAAATTAAAAATATTGAAAATGCCAATGTGACCAAGCAAATAAATAAATCGGGCATTTTGGCTAACCAATTTGGACAAAAAGGCCTAGAAAGGATAAATGATT